ATAAATATTTATATTATATGTGAGATATCAAAAAATTTAATTTTTGGTGATTATACAAAAAAGAAGTGAATTTCATATTTAATTATTGTTAAATTTAATAATTATAATATAAGTGAAAATAAAGAATATGTGTTTAAAATATTAGTATGTATAATTTTTTTTATTAGACATTTTGAAACATCAACAACAAGAATTATGTTGCTGAAATCATGGAGGATTACTATTCAGCTCACTATCAGCAACAAGTAGTATGTTGCTGATAGTACACCTATAATCACCATCAACTAGTCCCTCTTAACTTTTAGCAACACAAGCCATGTTGTTGAAAATCTAGTTTCAGCAACATGGCTTATGTTAATGAAAATGAGGCCAAGTTCCGGTCATCGGTTTACCACTAATTTTTAGTAGTTTACCACTAATTTTCAGCAACATGAGCCATGTTGCTGAAACCCCATCTTCAGCAACGTGGCTTATGTTGCTAAAGAGGGTGAGGAAAGTCACCTCCCCTCCCCACTGGATTCCGATGAAAGTTTTCAGCAACATAAGTTATGTTGCTGATACTTTTTTTTTAGCAACATAGCTTATGTTGCTGATATATTAGCAGCATGATTTTGGTTGGTAATGTATTACCCACCAAGCTTTCTCCAACAAAACTTTTAGCAACCAAGTCCATGTTGCTGAAAGACTTTCAGCAACATGGAAAGCACTTTCAGCAACATGCTTCCATGTTGCTGAAGGCTTGAATTTTAGTAGTGATGAGAACAATAAATGAAAAATCTTGTTTTAGTGTCACATCATTTTATATAAATTTATATTTTTAGTTATTTAATTTTCAAAATAAAACATCTCACGAAATACATCATCTCCAATAATTTTTTTTTAAAGTTATATTAACATTATTTTATTTAAGTTACATTTTATATATTTAATTAAAAATTTAAATCAAAGATTTAAAAAAGAGCCTTTGATATAATGGCTTAAATAACGTTAGATCATAAAAATGCCGCAATGTCTGACATATACTGGCAACATGTAACGCCCTGCAATATTTTTACTCCTAAAAATTGCAACTGAGTTTGTCATATATAGAAATATGAGTTTGGTTACAGAACAGACTCTAATAAAAATTAAATTTTGTATCTATTTTATTTCGAGAAAGAATAATAAAAGAAACTTCATTGCACATGCTTTAAAAGTCTTTAGTTTGAGAAATGATGACATTTGAATGAGTGGAAAATGATGATAAGGAAATGGCTTAATTTGCAAGCCGCAAAAGAAAGGTAAAGAGAGAAAAAAAGGTTTGACGGGGAATCTTCTTTGGGTATGCAAGTTTACACCTAGGTTTTTTTTTTTTTTGAAAATAGGCAATGCAAGTTTAGACCTGATCAGGCTCAAGAGGATCGACTACTTTTGAGTCGTAACATCCAATCAAATCGTTGAATGTTTCAGCGTGGATTTTTCATGCTTTTCTCTCATGTACAGTTACCCATAAATAATAAAAATTCTGATTTATTAAAAAAGAGAAAAAAAAAACCGTTGAAAGTCTTAGCATGGATTTGTCTCAATGTACCTTGATACGTTACGAGTCTTGGATAGATTGGACCGATTGAATTAACTCACCCTGTTCAATCTCTGACTGATTTTTTAAAAATATTTTTTCATCAATAAAAGACATTATCTTATAATGATTCAATTTTTTTAATAAATAACTAATGAATTAAATAATTCAATAGTAATATCATTTTATTAAAAGTAAAAAATTTTAAATTTGAATTGCATAATATGCAAATTGAATAAGTTAAAGAATGAGAAATTATTGTCATTAATTATGCAATTTAAGACAAAAAAAAAAAAAAGAAGAAGAAGAAGTAATTCTGGTAAATAAGGTTGGGTTGGAAAGAAGGCTATAATTGAACCATGACGTT